GAGAAGCACTTGTAGTGCCTGGTGGAATCGTTCCGTAGGAATGGACGTGAAGAAGCCTGACAGGTCTTGTGACACCAGGTGGATGTATTCATCGGGATCTGCCTTTGACAGCGACTCCCACAGCTGCTGGACAAGTTCTTGTACTGAAAGTTGACCTGCAATGTCGGGAAAAGTAGCTTTGGTAAGTTCAAATATGAGGGCGCCGAAGACCGTGAGGAAGGGAGCTGCCCACGTGCGAAAGAATGAAATGATGGGTCGTGCTTTCTGCCAGTCCTTGGTCGGCTTTGGAAGGATGCGAGCTGTGGGCAACGGTGCTTGAAGTCGAAGTCCCCATGCATATCGCTGACGTAGGAGGGAAGGTACCGTAGTTACCACTTCAGAGCGAAAAGATGCTGCGGATTCACGGCAAAGCGAAAAGACATCTCCCGAGCAAAAGGTCTTCCGCATCAGTATGGCAAACAGGGACGGACAAATCACATGTGCGCGGGAGGGGAAATGATCCGCGGGGATTACAACCCACGATGACAGAGAAGCCACGGTGCGCTGCAACGATGTCGATGACCAATAAGCACGATCTTGAAGGTTAGCTCGATGAGTGTCCATCAACTGAGTCAAAACCGGCTGCAGATCAACAAGAAGACTGGAACCATGCACATGCCAGCGACGAGCAAGTTTGCGAAGTTGCGTGGTGAAACGTTGATGTAACAAGTCGACATCACCGAAATACTGATCCTTCATTGATGCGGCCATGATTTCCATGTCAATGTCCGCATTGATGCGTGAGAACTCATCAACCATTACAGCATGTCCATGTGCTCGGTGTATATGGTGATCATCGATGTCCAAACAGCGACACGGAAAGGATGTTTCAGGAGTCCATCTGCGCTGCCATGTGCGGTAGTTGTAGATCTTGTCGCCCAACGTGGCACTGCGAGTTTCCACCACCCGGATCTTTGGAAGGAAAAGGGAGGGAAACAAATCACGATGAGAAGCAATCCAGCTTTGTAACCATGTGCCAAGTAGAGCTTTCCAATTCCGGACATGTAGAGGCGGTAGGAGTAGTTGTGTCAAAGTGGTGGGTGATTGTAGCTGTCGTTTGCGTAACACCTGGGCGAGGAGTTTCTGCGCCTTGGAGCGGAAGGGCTCGTTGACAAAGACGGAGAGCCGCAGAAAGTAGTAAAGCTGAGTAGGAGGGAAAGCTGCCGACAGAAGGTCACGCATGGCTTGGAACGATGCACCTGTATTGGATCCCAGCTGATAGAGAATAGAGTAATGGGCCTGAATGTCATCCAGCATGTCGGGACGTAGTTGCCGTTGAAGATCCGGATGTAGTCGTCGTCGAAAGCGTTTGTGCAAGCCGAGGGAAGTGGGAGACGACAACGAGTGACGTCGAAAATCAACGAGGTGTTCCCGGAAGCCCACCTTTCGCAGAAGTCTGTGTACCCAGGGTGCATTCAAATGCGGGCGTAGCAGGTATTGCCATTTGCTTTCCTGGACCCAAACCGAGGAAACGGGAAGTTTGATCTCAACCGGAACAGCACAGAAGAGCCAGTAAGTATTGGATCGCTTCCAGTAGTGAAGCGCGGGTTCGAAGAAGGCATGACGTCCTTCGAAGTAGTTGTAGAAATTTGCGACTGCGTGAGTGTTCACGTCGTAGAACATCCTGATCAGTCGCACCAACGTAGTAAGGTGTGTGCCATGGGGAAAGTCGGATGTAGACGCACGGTTGTTGATGATGACCTGGATCGTGAATGAAGTCATAGAGGTCCGGAAATCGTGCCCGCAATGAGCGAAGATGTCGCGTGTCGGCAAAAGTGGAGTGCATGATTTCACACAAGAGAGAAGCCTTGTAGAAGTGAAGGACTTCAAAGAACGGCGGAAAGTAGCCATGATCTTGGGAAATGAGACGTTGTAAGAAACTGATCAATAAATAGGCAGTGCACCGACATCTATGAATCTCATACCTGTTGGCCACAGTGTGTTGAGAGTGTGACATAGCGTGATTCGGAATCTGAAGGGCAATCCGGACCACAACTAAGACTTCCAGAATGAGGCCCAACCACGGTAGTTGTGTGATTGATTCGTACTCATCAGCTGGTATCGACGGTGGTGGTAGTCCAGGGAAGCAGTATTGCCAGCACGTAGAGAACATGGTCAACGAGTGTAAAAAGTTGTCCAGAGACTGCCATTGTGCAACATCATCATAGATTCCACAGCGGCGAAGCTCATCCAACATGGTGAAAATGCAACCAATGAAATCTACCATAAGGCGGCGACATGGATACAAGCTGCACAGACAATCACGCACAAGGCAATGCAAGCACAACCAAGTACAAGATCAAACTGATGCAACGCAGAAAGATGACGGACGAGTTTTAACCTTGACTCATCCGTGACACTGTTGCCGCTCCGGGCTCATAAGAGAACGAAGGTCGTTGAGATGCTTGCTCATCCGCTGAGTAGGCGAGCGGTCACGATGAGGTGACTCAATGCCTTCTCAGTGAGCTTGGTGAGATAGCCGGGTTCCAGTCCCCACGAAGCCGCCATCGCCCCGAGAGTAGGTGCGTCGCCTTTCGGCATGCGTTGACGCGCTTGAAGGAGCTGCGTCGCCATGGAATCTAATGACTTGTTGCCGTTGAGCCGGGACGGGTGATTGGCCCACTTGACCAGTGACGTCAAAGTCGTGGTTGTGGGCGATTGCTTGAGATAAAGGCGTGGCTGGTCACTGGTCCATGTGTAGTACTTGACAACTTCTTCCGGCGTGCTGTGCATGGTGAGCAATTGTGACGCCGCCGGCTTGGACGGCGGTGAAGACACTCCGTGAAGAGACTGAATGATCCGGGGTTGCACCGCGCTATCAAACGACTTGCCATCAAGGGCCGCTGCGCTGGCTGTAGGGAGGGAGCTGGCAGGTGACGAGGATGGTGTGTGGTTGACCGGTGGCGGTGTAACCAACTCTGCATCATCTTTCTGGCTTGCCATCGTGGGAGAGGTCGAAGCGCGCAGCGATGCTGAATACTGAGCCTGGAGCAGCTCATGCGCACGATTTAGATCATTGTACTTCTTGACCATGTCATCTGTCTGGGTGGAAGGTGTGAGAGAGGCGTGGTGTTGCTGAAGAAATTGAAGTACCAAGCTGGCCAAATGGTCATGAACCTTGATCCGCTGATTGAAGTCATCGATGTTGAGACCCAGCGAGTTGGCAAGGTCCTTTTCCAGGGTGAGCAGGTTGATCGACTGTGATCGTCGTAGTAGTTTGGAACAGGTACTCCAAAGTAAGGCCTCGGTGCGAGTGCGAAAGCCTTCCCACGTCACGAATCTGCCGTGAGCGAACGGTCGGAGCAGCCAGTTGGTGAGGCCCCCATGAATAACCTGAACCAGGCGAACGTCACGAATATCCATGCCTGACATGTCGCGCAGGTTGCCATGCGGAGTGTTGGCAACGGTCATGGGCAGGCTAAAGTTGTAGAGCTGATTGACATCAAACATGCCATCTCCAGGTGTCCAGTCAGGCGATGGTGTAAGCCAGGCTTTCTGAGGGCGAACCGGTAGAGCCGCAGGAGGTCCAGGTGGCGGTGTAGGTTGCGGAGTAGTGACCGGTGGTGGCATCACGGGTGGCATGAACTTCGTTGGCGTGGGGTCTGGAGGGATCGGCATCATGTAGTTGATCGCTGGGTGTTGGAATTGCTGTGTGGGACTGTGAGTCGATTGAAAATTGGTGGGCATCATCGGGAAATTGTTGGCAGAGTTGTAGCCGGAATTGTGTTGCCAAGATACCAGGTTGTTCCAATCCATGCCTTCCGAGACGTGGTGGTCATTGTGTTCACGTCGGTGTGCTTTACGAGCCTGAGGAGAAGTACTCCGATCACGTCTGCGCCGAGTCCTGGATCTATCACGATCATCACGTCGAGACATGGTTACACAATCGACTCTCAATCTTCACGCTTCCATCTTGAGAGACACGTATCAGACAACAAGCAAATCCATGCAACGGCAAGGTATCAACGAATCCAACAAATGGCAAGCAAACATCGATGGTGAGACGTCTCTATGATCTGACCGCTGTCTTCCCTTTAGTGAGACCTCGTTCCTGGTTAAATGTGAAATTCCGCTGTTCTATGATACGCACGTTGAGGTCAAATTTTCCGACAGAGCCGGCCCGGGGTCACACAATGGGTACACCCGAGGATTCCCCACGAATGGGGTGTACACACTTAAACTCCAGATGGAGAGTGCTAATCTTTCGAGTACAACTGATGAGTCTCGAGTACAACTGATGAGTCTCGAGTGGGTGTGGGTTCGGCTCGCAATGCACTCGGTTTCACTCTAGTGTCGAAAACGTTACCAGTTCCAACATGAAGCACACACAGCGCCGCAACCAAGGGGCCAAATAGACATTCAGAATCACGCAAATGTTGCAGGTACACACGGGTGATCAATCCGTGCATCCACCATCAAGCATAGCTTCGTTGGCCAGCGTTCGCTTGATGGCCGCTGGCCCCCTGCTGAGAAACCGAAAGGGTGGTGACAGGGCATTCTGTCACTCCGCACACACACACACAAACCAACACACACACACACACACACACACACACACACGCACACACACACACACACACACACACACACACACACACACACACACGCCGCACACCATTCTCGTCAAGTCTCGTGAAGAATTTGAGAAGTGAACTCGCTGGCCAACTAGCTAGATGATGGACATGGTCACCAGTGGTTCATAGCCGAAGTTCCCAACATTCTAAAGGTGTTTGTATTACACCCTGGGAATGCACCCTTGAGGATTGATGCCATTTAGGCACATTTCCGGATAAACCCGTGTTATTTTGAGCCATTCTGGGTCATTTCCCAGGGGTGTAATCCCAGGGTGTAATACAAAAGCCCTCAGAAACATGGAAGCGCAGAAGTGCAGAGGCTGGCTTCCTTTCCAGGACGGAGGGGGCGAGGTGCGGTTGGCCGTTTCTTTTGCGGGACGAGCTGAGGCGAAATGGCGCACCTGGTTGCATGGGACCATCAAGGTCGCTACGACTCGTTTTTTGGTCCCATGATGAAGTACACGGAGCAGGACCCGCAGTTCACTGGATTTCACCCTTTGTTTGGGCAGAATCCCCACTAATCAGCGGGCTTTTCCTGTGGCAAAAACGGCTTCCGTTGTCGGTTTCGCGCACTCCTGGTAGCATGCACCTGCCAAATATAAATGGCCTCTATTCGGCTTCGTGGGCCTTTCGCCCTCCTAAAATGCCTGTGCCAGGCTCAAGCCGTCATTCTTTATCTCATAGATCACCACGTCCCAGCCTCAAAGCAGCAGCGGCATGTCGTCAAGCGGGTCAGTCCTTCGCGGTTCTGGTCCGCACACAGGCTCACCACGTGGTAGATGCCCGGCTGCTTGATGTAGAGGGATCCTCTCGTGGATGGCAACAGCCTCCTGAAGTCGGGAGTACAACACCTAGGGCACGGCAGCGCTTCCATCTATCGCCAAGCGTTCCGAAGCCCGTAGCAGTCGCGCAGCACATGGTACCGTTCCCCATAGTTGGTGTAGAAGATCGACGGTTCCAAAGGAATGTAGTCGTCATCTGCATCGGGGTCGTTTGCTCCATCTCGGTCCTCCGGCTCCGGCTCATTCACTGCCCGAACCGCTCCTCCCTTCTGCTTTCCTTTTGACGACCCTTTGGTACGGGGCCTAAACTTGGGCAATGCACCCAACTGTCTGGCCCCGGCGCTTGCGGACGACGATTTTCTTGTTGTTGGCTCCACCCTTCGTGCGGTAGAGCTCTCTCCCTGATCATCCTCTTGTTCTCCTCCCGGATCAGCACCAAGTCGAGGACTCATAGCCCTCATCCTTGGGATGGCGCGTGCACACCATCTGGGTGTGGCTCAAAATTAAACGATCTGAGGGGTTACGCGGGTTTTGGTCCATGTTTCCACTTACCAGGGTTCCATTTTGGAATTCCGGTTTTTGAGCCACGGCCATCTCAACCATCTTGAACAAGACGATCGTCAGCGCCTTGAGAGACTCATCATCAGTCTCGCTCTCTGGCAACTTCTCCTTGACCGCCTGTACCTGCGAGATCAGGCTCGCTATGGTTATCACCTTGATCATTGGAGTGTTCTTGCCGTTGGACTCCTCTTTGACCTTCTCAATGTCCCGGATAGCCTGTCCCTTGGGGTCCTCTTGTGACTTCACGCCCACCTGCTCCTCCTGGCTCGCGTCCTCATCCTTCTGGTCATCGAGCTGCTCCAACTTCCAAAGCCGCCTTAACTCTTCCATCCTTTTACCACTGAGCGCCTTCGTGCCCAAGTCAGCCAACATGCGGACTCCCGGCACATGGTGGATGGTCCAACTCTGATCTTCCATCCTCCACCTGAGGTTGAACGCCCTCACCCTAAGGTGTCGCGTTCGCCAGCTGACGCTGCCCTCTGAGGCTATCGCTATGGCGGAACTGTCCGTCAGCAACTGCCTCACGTAGTTGTTGCCAGGCGCTTCCTCTATCTCCGCTACCAAGGCTTCCACACTCTCCCCCATCACTATCTCCTCCAGGTTCCGCCAACTCAGATTCAGCAGTGCTCAGAGTGGGGAAACTTTGCCTCGAGCTCCTCCACGCGATTGCACCGCCATTCCGTACGGCTACCGAACCAGGCTGAGACCACCGCCAGGAGAGAACGATGCATCGGTGTAGACTTCAATCATCCTCCCCAGGCCCGACTCCCCGTTCCCGACATGACGTTCCAGCCACAAACCAACCTCCTTCGTCTTCCTCAGATAGCGCCACTATGCGCCACTGGTCGGCCAACTCCATGACCCACTTTGGTGCTTTGGCCACCACCGACGACATCCAACTCGTGACGTACATCTGGCCTTGTCTTCGTGGTCAACCATGGGATTTCTCCAACTCGTTGAGCTGCTTGGACCTCCGCCGTAATGTCCGGTTTTCCTCCGGAGTTTCCGCCATCTCCCGCGTGATGGGAAGGACTGTTCCGATTGAGAACCTCCTGGGTGCGGGCCTGCTGTCCCAGACAGTAGCCCCGTTTCGTCCGACTGATCTCCATGCCGCAGAACCGCACCTTGGAGCCCTCCCTTCTCCGGGTTGCTCGTCTCCCACATTGCCTTCACCTGTTGGACAAACTCCTACAGGGTTTGCTCACCCCCTTAGGTAAGGATATCGTCCACGTAGACAACCATGTCCAGCCCAGCTCCTCATCGCCCTTACTCGTGGGATGTCGTTGTGATCCTCTTGACAACCCATGATTTGCCACACATTCGGATCCGCAATGGACTGCTCCATCCAGAAGATTTGATTTCCCCTTCGCCACCGCAAAGTCCGAACCTTCTCGTCTCGGAACACGGCCCACCTTCTTGGAGACTCCCGGAGTCCATACAAGGCTCGCGCCACAGCCCAGTACTCATCCGCCTTGCAGAGTCCCAGGCGTACCAGCACAGCCGGTGGTCTCATCAGTAGGATGTTCTGCTGCTTGTCCTTGACATTGCATCTGATCCACCGGCAGTTCTAGGGACTCCTCTTGATCTCTTCCGCCTGCGTGATTACCACAGATGACCACCAGTCTGCATTTCCTCGGCGCCTTGACAGTCATCACCATCTTCCCCGGCATGAGGTCCTCCTTGTACCTCGGGTCCTCCATCAGAAAGCCCTAGCTTCCTTGCCCGAGACTATGCGGACCGCCTTCTTGTCCAAGAGAGATTTCATCTCGGCCTCAATGGCGGGGATCCATTCCTCCTTATCTCTCATGACCTCCGGCACAATCCTTGTCTGCACCTGTTTCTCTGCTCAGTTGTTCAGTGGCCCCCTTTTTCCCCTTTTTTTTTGGTGGCTGCCCCACTAAAATGGTCTTCCCAAAAAAGGGTTCCCTTTCTTTCCAGGGTCACTGAACAACTGAGTCTTCTTTGCCCAGCTCCTGGACCTTCACTTCTTCCATCTGCAGTTCCCGCAGCCTCGCCGTGATCCCGAGAACCTTCGTCTTTGACCATTGCCTTCTTCTCAATGACGAGCTTGAGCATTTTTCCAAGTGGCGAAGCTCACCCGGAGGCTTGCTCTTCTCTTTGATCCGCCTTCTCTCTGATCCGCCTCATCTGGTTCCTCATCCCTGGCCATGGGCCAGAACTTCACTTCCAGCTCCGCCCCCTTGAGAAGCCTTCTGATCTTGCTCTTCAGGCTCCCGACACAGAGCCTCCGCCCGTCCATTCTCTTGGGGGGAGTCAGCGCTCGCCGTAGTCTTTTCCACCTCCTTCACCAAGCACCATCTCCGAAGGCCATGATTGATGAACTCCTTTTTGCTGTTCGAGTGTAACCGCTGGATAGGGAAGCCTTGTCGCTTCAACTTGATGTACAAGTGCTGGATTCCCTCCATCACAGTTCTCCCTTTCTTGTCCGGCAGCTGCACAACCATGACGATCACCTTCAGTGGCCTTGGTGGCCCACAAGCTCCTTTAGAAGGCTGTTCCTCTTCTTCCCCAACTTCTTCTTCGCCTGCCTGCTCTTCCTCCTTCTCTTCCTCGATCACAGGCAAGTCTGCCGCGTCATCAGCTTCTCCGTCCCCCGAAGGCGAAAGAACTCTGTCTGCTCCTCCGAAGGCCAGTCGTTGATGCCCTTGCCCGTCTTATAGGGCCCACTAAGGTCAACCACACTGCCGCCTCGGGGTAGTGTCTTTTTTCTCGAGCTTGCCGATGTCTCTTGGCATCCTCGACCATCTCCCCGGCGATTTCGGGAGTGTGCCCATGTAGCAGATGCTCGCTCCAGCTCAACACTTCGGCTGGCTGTCCGAACACTTCCTACGCCCTCGCCACTTCCCTCATGAGGGTTGGTGCCCAACGGGGATAGCTCTGCTGATGACCTCACTGTCGACTCATCTCTGGTCGCTGTAGTTGACCGGGCTGCCGGCATGCTCAAATGGAGGTTCGTTACCACCCTTGTCGGCTTAACCGCCGTGCCGCCGTAGTCTCCTTGCCGAAAGCCATACTCCAGCAATCCATGCTGATCTCGAAGCTCCCGGAAGTTGTCGGTCCTCCACCAGGATCCGCATTCCGGCATGTACTGCGGGGCGTCTGGCTGCTTGAGCAGGAATTGCCACCTCTGTCTTCACCGCTCCGCGAAGCCCCTTCTGCTTCCTGCCTTCCTCTGCCGCGCAGTAGAGCATGATCATGCGGTACATGACGTCATCCTCCCAGACCTGGTGCCTTTCATCCAATCCTGCGAGCTCCCTTCGTCCATGTCACACACTTCTCGAGGCCCAGAGGCACGATGGGCACTGCCCCATCGATGATGACCTTCCCAGACGTCAACAGCTCTTTCTCCTGCCAGCTCCACCTGGATCTTCTCCAGATTCGCCACATCCCTTGGACGAGCACCTCTCATTGAGTGCGTCGCCCCTGAATCCAGCAACCCATATTCCTGCTGGTAGTCGATCTTGGCAAACCTCAAGGCTGGTCGAGCTGCTTCTGGAGATCGTTCAGCCGATCGTCTCGTTCTCTGCGATCCGTCGATGCCGATGCCTTGATGTTGAGGGACCTCAGCATCTTTCCGGCCTCTTCCAAGACCGATTGCAGACCGTCCCCTTCACTTCCGTCCTTGGCATTCTTGGCGTTCCCCTTCAAGGTTGCCAACGTCGATGTCGAGGTCTCCATCTGGTCATCTCCTTGATGGTTGACCTCCTCCTCATCCACTTCGGACACCTTGGCGACCTTCCCAGGACTCTTGTCCATCTTGTGGCGGTCGGCCGGTGGTTTTCGCGGGGGCGTGGTGCTGAGGGTGGGCTCCTGAAGGGTTTTCCAGGTCCAGTGCTGCCCTTTCTAGGTCTCATTCACAGCGCCAACCCCAAAGCGTTTCTCGATCCCTTGGTCCTAGGGTGCTTGGACAACTATTCTGAGCGGGTCAGCCATTCACGTGCCCGACCCCAAAAAGACGAGGTCCCCCAGTAGTGCCCTTTTACCCTTTTTTGGGTGCCGGGGTACTTGTCCTGCTGCTTTTTCGGGCAGTCCTTGCGGAAGAGGTCCACAGCTCCACACTCGTAGCATCGGTTCTTGTCATCCTTCGCGTCGTGGGCGAATGTGCATTGCCGACCTCTTCGACATCCAGCGTGCGTGAGGTAGTAGCGACAGGCTTTCCTCTGGCGCGCATCTCCCTCCCTTCTTGGGGCACGGCTTTCCCCGCCCTTTCCACCTCCACCTCCGAACCCAGCTCCTGCTCCCTCGAACCTCTTGACCTTGCCATCGTTGTCCGGAGCCTTCATGACCTTCCGTGTGAACCAACTGCTCCAGCTCCGACAAGAGGCGCTCGCAGTACGTGCTGATGGTGCTGTAGTTTGGCACCGTGTCCATAGATCTGGCCAGGCTGATCTTGAAGCTCAGCTCCTTGTTGTTCTCCAGCACCTTCTTCGTCAACCTGTGCAGCCCTCTACTCAAGACCCACGGGTCCGGGAGAGAAACTCCTATTTCCTCCGCTCTCCTCCATCGGAGCCACCGCCTAATTCCTTGGACCGCCGCCTGAATGTTCATCGCCTCCTGTGGCTGCTCGAGGTTCTTGAGGATTGCCGATCTCTCTGCCACCCCACCTGGCTGATACAACAGCATCAGCCTGCAAACCAGAGAGAACACGTCCAGGCTCTTGGTCGCTATCAGCTCCTCCTTCAATCCGGCAACGCCTTCATGAGCAAAGTCTCCACCCGCCTCCATCGACCATTGCTCACCTCATTCGGAGGTGTTGGGGTCAGCAGCAACTGCAGCGGCGGCTCCGTCATGTACTTGTCGTACCATTTCTTGGTGTGCTTCAGCACCAGCTCCCACTCACTGGTGTCAAGATCCGCCATCACCGGGCCTGCCATCGTCAGATCGTCAGCCAGTCCACCGTCGGTCGATTGGGCCTCGCTGAGCTCTGGCGGCGGCCTGCGTGACCACCGCCGGATTTGCTGCATCCCTTCCATGAGCTTCAGGATGACGAGCTGAGCATTGCCAGGGTGTCGTCTCCGAGCTCTGAGGATTCCGGCCCTTGTCCCTCGATTCGGTTCACCTTCCCGACGTTGATCGGGTACTCGTCCAGCTCCGCGTTTTTTTCGTTTCTCCACTTCCACATCCGGTGTCACGTAGGTCTCGGACTGGTTGCTGTTGAGCCTGTCGTTCTCTGAGCCGTTGAAGCTCCATCAGGTACTGCACCCGATCTTGCCGCGGATGATGAGCGCCTTGTCCCGCAATTTCGGTGTCGCCTCCTCTCTCTCCAGGGGTTTCCGGCCTTCTCAGCGCTGGCTCTTGCGCTGCTGTCACCGAGCTCAAACTCACCAGGCCTCCAGGCCTATCCCATCTCTCCAGGTACTCCAGCTGCTGAGTGAAGAGCGGTCCACCATCGGTTCTTGAGGTCCCCCGCTCCTCTGTGGGTCTTGTCCTTGATCAGGCTCCGCGGATGCCCAGGGCTTCGACGCCGAAGCCGGCCACAAATTCCATTAAAGTACCTTCCGATCTTTTCCGATCGCCTTGGTGCCGGTGTCCTGGCCGTGCTTGCGTTGTGGTGAACCATTTCTTGACCCACCAACTCGAGCCATTCCCGAGCCCCGCAAATCCGATCTCGGCTCCTGTGCCGCCTCCGGCGCCCCCGCGCCTCGGTGGCAACGTCCAGCGGTGGAGGGGCTCCAGGATGTTCCGAGGCCTTCAGGGACACCTGGGCCTTCCGGAATTTCCGGGCCATCACCTGGCCCACGGCCCTTGCCATTGCGGCGCAGGGGCATCATTGGTTCGCCGCCTCTGGGCTCATAACCTACTGATCAGCGGGCTTTTCCTTAGGCGAAAACGGCTTCCGTTGTCGGGTTCGCGCACCCACAATTGGCGAAGCCCCGTTTTCTGTCAGGGGCACTCGGCTCAAGTTGCAAGTTGCCAGTTCAGGTCAGTTCATGCAAATTGGCCAGGAGTTCTTGGAAGCACAGATCAAGGTGCGCAAGCCCAACAAGGCGAAACGCTTCGAGGTGCTGTCGAATGGATGCGACTTGACTCATTGTCTCAGCAAAGAAATTGTCTTTTGGTGGCACTGCACCAGGTACCACCGGTCAATACCAATGGTACCATTTTGGGGTAGGTGCACCACCCATTTTAGGGGATTGGGATGTTCACTGGGGGTACGGGTGTTTGACCCATGGCCTTGTGGCACTGCACCAGGTACCACCTTCTTGGAGAAGGGTATTGATTTTGCGTTGAATGTCGCTCCGCAGATCTTTACTGCGGCAGGCCAGCCGGGAAACTTCCATGTGCTTAGAGGAATCCGATGAATGCAGGGAAGGAGAAAGATAAGCTCAGCCGCATGAAAGATGCGCCTTGGATTAGTTTGCAGATTCAAAAGAGAGGCAGAGAGAGAGAGAGAGCAAGAGAGGGATAGTTGTTGTATGTGCTACGAGTCTTTAAGAAAAGATGCATTTTTAATGTTGAGCTTGTGCATGCAAAAGCTTGAGGAGATCATAGCGATGGCCCCCTACTTCGAGGATATTAGGCACCTTGCAAGTGTTTGACTCAGCCTTTCAAAAGCCGTGCAAATGTGCCCTCTCCACCAAGGCAATTCTTGGGCAATTCCAGCGACTGGACTGGTGCAATGCACATGAACCTGCAAGCAGACAACGCAGCCTGGTAGATGTGACGGATGGTCTCAAGTCTCAACAATGAGAGCTCAGTTCGCACATTTTGCCAAATCCCAGGCTTATTTGTGGCATGATGAGCAGGGCGATTTGGATGTCGGCATGTTCGACTGGTGCGGATTTGCACGTACTTCCTACGTGATGCAGCTTGGCGTGAGCTGCTTATGTCGTCCGAAAAATTGAGGGCCGGCTTTAAGTGAAAGGAAACAAACACCTGCTTTAGGAAACAGGCTTTGGAATGAGCTTTTTGACATGGATGCACAGGTGGAGCTGGTGTTTCCCATAATACTACCTGAATACTAAAGGGGTTCCAATGGTGGTGCGTGTAAAACATAACGTCGTCTCGCGCATTTTGACTGCGCGGGCTCGCACAAAATTTCGTCTGAAATCCTCAATGTTGTGTCAACTGCGCAGGCTCGCAAGAAACGATGCGGGCGGGGGCCGCTGTGTCCGTTTTCGGAGTTAAGTCCATTTTTCGTGGCAGGCGTGTTGTGAAACATCGAAAGCGATGGATTTGTGAGACTGGGTTTCGTGAATGGTGAGTTGAGACGTGGCAAGCGCAGGCCTTCGGATGCGTTCGTCGCGCACTGCATTTGCCATAGCTCTTGCTGCGGCGCGAGAATGATTTGATTTCGCTCGCGGAAGCCTCTGTGATGGCTTTCTTTTTGGTGTGCCGATTCTGACGTGTTGCCAAGAGAGCGCATCCAGAGATCTTGCGCAGAGATCCTGTGAGATCCTCTCAGAAAGCCTTGCGCAGGACCTGCAAAGATCTCCTTTCAAGAGATCTTGTACAGGATGGGCCGCTTTTGGGATGACTTTTTACTAGCCAGTTGGGCCTTAACCGTGGGTGACTGGTGGTGGTTGACCGACCGGCCTAGCTCGGAGGGGTTGAGTTGCTCAGGCTGGTTTCGGGAGTAAGCTCAAACGGCAGGCGGGTGAGTTTTCGGGTTTGAGCTCGTTTTGGGTTCTTTGGGATTCGGCGCGTTGCCCCAAACCGCCCAAAACTGACGCAACCACATCCTAAAGCAACCCAAACGCCACTCCACCAGCCGCACACCTATCCGAACCAGCCCCAAACTAACCCAAACCGAGCCAAAGTCCATCGTAAACCCCCTTTGCCCAGCCAAAAAGAACCCCAAACAAAGCTAAGACCAGGCCAACAACTCACCGAAACCAACCCCGAGCAGCTTTCCCAGAGCCAATCGACGCCTGGCCACCAGGCCCTTCAAAGCCCCAGAATTCCCCGCCAGCCCTGGATCCGAGTGATGCTGGGCTGAGGATTCAGCAAAACCATACTTGGTCAAACCTCAACCTGCCCGCAAAAGCAACCAAAGCTGAGAAATAGGTGGGGGTGCCCATTTTTGATTCGTTCCCTTCAACAACAGGAGCTACCTCTTGCCTCAGTGGCGGTTTTTGCCAATTGGATCCTTGGGCTTGAGCTGTCCCAAGGAACTTCATGGGATGCCTCAGTGGGGCGGATGCCGATTTGCTGGACGCACATGAGGAGGGGCTCATGAAGATGTTTTGCTCAGCCCTCAGATTTTGTTGATTTTGACGAGCAGGCCCTGGCTCTATTTTTTTTCACCTCACTCCCGGGTTTAGGGGACACGCAAAGTCCTTGCAGCTGGTCATGTCAACAAAGCTCTTGAGCCAAACCCGCTGAAGACTCGCGTGATATCAGTCTTCGCGGCTCATCTCAGTGCCCACGAAGCCATTGATGTTTTGGTTTCTGCCTTTTGGAGAGGGTACCTTCTGTCGGTTTGTTGCCTTTTCTTCATGGCGGGCTTGGATACTTTGTCCAACAATCATGGAAGCAGATGCGGTGTTGCGGGGCCCTTTCAGGATTCCATCGGATGGTCTGCCAAGACCCTTCTGTCCGCTTTTTAGGATTGTTGGACAGAGATGTTCGCTTTTTATGAAAGGCTGAGGCTTGGCCGCTTTGGTTTTCATGTTTGTTACCCTCCCTCCAACTAACATGGCACCTGTGGGAGGGTACCTGGAAGATCAAGCTCCTCTTGGAGGGACCCCCTTTCAGGTGCCACGTTAGTGGGAGAGAGGGTAGCGGCACACATGAGGTGACGAGTGTGCACGGTATGGGGGTCCCAAACTTCAGCTCGCGGATTTGCTGCTCCGATATCGCCTGCAGTGGCCTTCATTTGTCATGGATTGCTGCCAATGGGTGGAGCGTGACTTGGATGGGCACTAGCTTGGGCAGGCTGTGTTTTGAGATCATGTATTTGTGTGTGTCCGCGTGCTTTCGTGCGTGCGAGCTTCTGCTTGAGTGATTGTGTGTGTGTGTGACCATCTTTGTTTGTGTATGTGTGTGTGTGTGCGTGAATGCAAAAGTCCAAGGCGACATCTACCGGGAGTGTCCCCGAGAGGAGCCTTTTGTATCTGTGGTGGTTTTACCGGCTGTTCCTTACGATTAGATTCCAAGTTCAGCTCTCCCTCGCTTGTCACTGACTTGCCAGCTAATCGACCTTTTCTCCGTTGGGTTCCCCATGGTCCATTGTTCGTCAAGGATCTTGGGAGATGTCGGAAAAAGACCATTTGGTCCAATGTCACAACTTCCGTTTGCTTAAGAATATATTTTAATTGTCCCTTGTGGGTTTTAAAAGGAATGTATCACTACTAGAAATATGTTCCCATTTTTTTCCGGGGGCCTTTACCAAATGGAAGACAAGGCATTGAGTCTGGCCTTCTGAGAGGAGTGGCACACCATCAAGGACATCATGGACGACAAGTTCATCGGCCTTTGGAATGTGATACTTACCTCTTCTTTTGGCAAGCGCTTTAAACTCTTAGCAAGCACTGGGCTTATTCTTTGGACTGTTTCTGGGGGCGGGGGGGGGGGGGTAAAGTCGAAAATTGTGTTGTGTGGCTTTCACCTACCACTCAGGTGACTTTGGCAATGGTGAAATTATGGGACCTATGAAGTAGTAAACATAAGCCATCTACTGAGCGGGTCAGGAGATGTCGCGGTACTTCTTTGAGGAATGCTTTCGAGTACTACCACCGGCGTCCTTTTAAGAAAATTTACGATGAATGGAAAAGCGGAGTCGGCAGGGAATACCTGTCAAAGTTTACAGCGTAGCCTTGCCACTTGCAGTCAGCCATTGCTTCTCGCAGTCAAAGAGCGCAAGTGCAAAGTCATGTCAGCATGCCGAGATGTCCAGGCAGGAATTTGAACTTTCAGTGGCATGCGTGCAGGGGGGCTTGCAGTTGCATGAAAGCATTGCGCAAGTCGCTGCATCCGTGGGTCAGCAGGTTTCATCTAAAGGTGTTTTGAGGCCTTCCAAAGTCCATGTTGCTAGCAGTTTGGCCGAGCGCACACACTCCACACAGTCACAGAGCACAGCGCCGGAAGTTTCATCGACCACTTGAAGCCCAAGCTACGCAATGGGAAACGATCAGTGCCTTGGTACGAGTATGTACGAGTTGTGTTCAGTGCCCAAAACTTGAAACAAAGTGCCCATTCGGAGTGACCTGTGCTGCCAGAGGGATCATCTGCTTCATGTTTGTTGACTTTGGCAAACTTTGGCAAAGCACAAGCAGGAGCGCTGTATGTATGTGGCTGTGGGTCAAAACCAATGGAATCCCATTTTGGGGTAGGTGCACCACCCGTTTTAGTCTATTTTAGTGGAGATTGGGATGTCACTGGGGGTACGGGATTTTGACCCATGGCCATGTGAAGACTCAGGTGCAGATGCCTGAGAGATGATGACTCAAACAAGGAGTTCTACATAGCCGCGCCTTGGATCTGAGGTCTTAAAATGGGATTCGGACCCCTTTCGAGTTGGAAGTCCCCCTTTCGGATGTTTCTCAAAATAGGATTCGAACCTGGTTTTCAAAAGCTTAGGCATTGCCCGTTTGCGGCGGCGTGACCACGAAGGCAAAGGGCTTAGTGGCAAGGTTCCAAGGGCTCTAAGAAGCCTTCAGCTGTTATGCTAAGATCCTTTCCAGTTGAGTTTTCTCCCGCAGGAGGACGAAATCTACCGGGAAAGGCTCCTGCGCGTGATATTGCGGGTTCAGAGGCACTGGCGAGTGGTAAGCGCGAGAAAGAAGTTTGTACGGAAGGTGCCTTGGCTGCATCCCACTTGGAATTCTGCTATGGATAAAGAATTGTATTCTGTACCGAGATAGCTGCGTTGATATTTAGGGGGCGCCATTTTGATCAAACCATAGGGTTAAGGGAGCTCTTGATGTCAGTTCCCTCGTCAAAATGATTGGTGGACATAAGTACCCACGCAGATTCCAATTGAAAATCATACCAACGTGCTGAAGTCTGATGGATGAGGCAGAAATGTCATATACTGGGGCGACGGCGAACAAGCAGACTCACTTGCTGCATTGGCA